CTACGAAAATAATGATTTCTAAGAGCAAACTAATCAAATTATTTTATAGAAATGAATATGAAATTTGAACTTCTTAAACTGCCAACACCAAACCACATAAAGATCAAAACTCGCAAGCTGTAAGAAAACAAGCAGGACAACTAGTCTTCCCACAACCAAGACAACTGCTGAGACCAAAAGATAACTGCGGATACCAAACGACCAACTACGGCGACGAACGCCTCAGTTCCTCCAGTTCTCTTCGGAGAACCCGCCGCCGCCGCCGCCTCCTCCTCTATGGAAGCGGGACCCGCCGTCGCCGTACCCGCGATCACGCCCGTAGCCACCTCCGCCTCCACCGCGGCTGTATCCGCCTCCCTCGCGGCGACCGCCCATGCCGTACCCACCACCACCGCCGTAGCCACCACCACCACCACCGCCGTAGCCACCGCCTCCGCCGCTACGAAAGCCTCCTCCTCCGCCGCCGCCGCCTCGGCGATTCTGGGCTTCGTTGACGGTGATGTTCCTCCCGTCAAGGTTCTGGCCGTTCATCCCCTCGATGGCGTCCCTCATCGACTGCTCGTCACGGAAGGTAACGAACCCGAACCCCCTCGACCTCCCCGTCTCCCTGTCGTTGATGATCTGCATCCAGAAACGCAAACAAAAGCCCTCAGATCTAAGATCTAAGATCTAAGATCTAGGAAGAAGCGTGAGGGTTAGGAACGATGATGGATCAAGAGGAGATCGCGACCTTTGACTCGATGATCTCGCCGTAGGGGCTGAAGGCCTGCTCGAGGGTCCGGTCGTCGGTGGCCCAGGCAAGACCGCCGACGAAACAGCGGAACTCAACATCAGAAGCCGCCATGGGAAAGGATCGGAAGAGAGATTACGAGAAACCCTAAGTCTTCCCCCAGGAGCGCCTTTATAGATCGGGCGGTGGGTGGATGCGGTAACCTTACTTGCCGTGTCTTCGGGTTCCCTTGGCCACTTGTTTGGGCGGTCGTATCACCGTCCGTGAGTTTACCACCACTACGTGCGTTGCTTCCACCCTCGGAACAAAGATATACGCATAGGGGGTCCCAAACGATACTATCTCAACGGTGTCGATGGCGGGGCCCAAAAGTGGGTACACGCAATTGTGTGGACTCGGTGCGAAAAATATCTATAGGTCGAAGTTACTGTTTTGCCCATAGCTTGTGAAGGAGGTGATGAAGAACGATCTTGTCAAGGATTTCGTAAATCTTACATGAGATAGGAAGATAAATAAGTTGGATACATCATCATCAAATAATAATTTAGATATTAATAATATTTTTATTATCTATTTGTAGCTGATGAAACAGTATATATCGTTCCCGATAAGATTTCTTCGATGTTCAAGTTAATAAAAAAAAACAAAATAAGAGTTATCGATAAGATTTCTTCAATGTTCAAGTTAATCAAATGATGTTGTCGTCTTTCATATGGAACTAAGCAGGATGACTGATGATCCAAGTTCATAAGAGAGAAAGAAGCATTACTCGCATTTTGACCACTAGTTTGAGTAAGAATCTCTCTCACCATACCATTGGAGTTGGAAGACAGCCACAAGCAGCATATCCCCACCATGGAAGGTCGAAGCTTCACGTAGAGATGCTGTCTCATCAACCTGGAGGAGTGCAACGAGCAACTGAAGCCACCTTTGGCATCTTTGGGTCCACAGATGCAATCATGCAATCCTTTTTTTGGAAGAACTTACGTGACTTAGGACGGCGATGGCACAGCCTACATTCCATGTTCTCAAAAATCCATGCTTGAAAGGTAAGGGTGAAATCCCAATCGAGTCCTCTGTGAATGCCTCCTTGGAAATTTTTTTATGTAGGTATATTCAACAGAATATATTAATTAAGGATTATTTAGGACGAACAAAATATATTCTTATGAATCAAGGATGATTTACATAATATTTCCTAAATAGCGAGGTATTAGAGATCACATATATTAAAAGTGATTCTTACGGTGTCTGTAGATCAAGCGATCACATCATCTGCTTACCATAAGATGTTTAAAATATAACTTGTTCTTGCATATTATATATCATAACAATTAATAAATAGTATTTGTAATTTGATGTCGTGGATTATCCAAGTGACCTCTCGAGAGAAGGCGAAATGATGAGAATGAGATTGGGACTAGAGGGAACGGTTCACAAGATTGCCACCAAGCCTTCCGAGACATCCCCCCGAGGTGGGGTTAAAGCGGATTTGATCTTCATCTGAATCCTGCACAATCGATCGGAGTTGGGGGATTCTCGACTCAACCCCTCTTATACTTGACTTAGTACATGAAGAAAAGATTGATATCGGGGGTTGTCCTTTGACCGGTCCCCTTCTCAGGTTACAAGGATCGATTCTTATACCTACGGAGCCGACAAGAGGAAGCTACTACAGGTGAGAAGATCTATCGTACCTCTTTGCGACACCATTGTGTGGGTGGTCGATCGAACACTCCTTGCTGTTGCACTGGTAAACCTATCCGGACTTATGTAGCATGACTCCGACTTATATAGTTCCATGCGACATGAAGCTAGCGACGGACGATCGAGAGAGCATCGCTCGTCATCTCGACTTTTTTTTTACGTCAACTCCATGAGGATTGTTAGTTGGCAAATTAGGAGTGATTATGAAATATTTCGTATCAAATATAAATAATAAGTGAGATGTACATCCTTCGAAACTTGGTCTGATCGATCAATTTCATCGGATCAAATTTGATCTGATCACCATGATGATAAAATAAAGCCGATCGAATTTGATGGGTCAATGCCGTCCGCGGGTTTAGTCAACCTATTTGTCTCTTCAGGTTGGGACATCTCTTCTTTCTTATACAAATTCCTCTCAATCTGTCGCCCGTTATACAGGCGAGGCCCATGCTTTGTCTTTAGACAGCCTAAGGGCGAATGAAGTCCTAACGTCTCTTTCATCACGGGAGGTAGTTCCCATAAACCCAAAAGTTGTTTGAGACTTAGAGTCAATGAAAAACTCACATAACAACGATTCGATGGTGAGTGCACCACTTTTAGGTCACCTACGAGTTAAATATTCCATATCAATGGAGTTCGACTTTCAAGCTCTCGACTTAATGAATATCCTTTTGATCTCGCACCAGGGTCTCTTTATTTGTCTCATGATGCCTCGGGGTTGGACTTCATCTTTTCATCTACACAATGATAGTGTCTTGCCTATAGTGGTGAAAGATATCTCCTTCTCATATTGTGCCCAACTCATAGAGTTAACTTAATAGTGTTTATTAAGGAATGTTGAAGTGTCATTCAGAAAATGGATAAGAACTGGTTGATCGATGTGGGTTTCAACAAGGCTTCTAAGGGTACAACCCGAACCTCTCATCACTTCACCTCGTTCCCCTTTTTAATCTTTTGTAGCCTTGTGATTATGATCCTTTACAGACATGAACCTACATTCTTTGAAGAAGAAGGTGCATGACTCTTCTTCAGGCATGGCAGTGGCCTCTTCGGTTCTAGCCACTATTCATGACCATCCCTCAAGGCATCGGGGCTCACTCAGTCCGGCCATCATGCTAGCATTAATAAATCGAGAAAGAAGCAGAAAATTATTGTGAGAAAGCAGCCTAGTCCTAGAATGAGTGTGGAACCCAAGAAGCTAGTTCCTGATAGGGAGCCTCCCACCGCTGCAATGTCGGGGCCTTCTGAGCCATTTTCGAGCAAAAGAATAGATAAACCAAGGTTGGCGTTCGATTTATGGAGGGGCAAGCCCTTGCCTTTCATGGCTATTCAAATAGCTGACATATTACACCAGGTCCCAAGAGCACCATTATAGTTGAGATGGGAGGGTTTGCATAAGAAACAAAAGGTAAGGAGTAATGGTGTCGCCTCGAAGCAATACTATTGTAGATCCTTATGTCCGGTGGTGGCGAAGCAGATATACCGTTCCTTTTCGGAGGTTCTGATCGGCATCTACTTCTGCAACAAAGTGCTAGTAAGTTAGGTCATGGTTAGCTCCTTCGGATTTGCTTCACTCATTTGTTTATTTGTGATTTGTAGCACCATCATTATGTAATGACCCTTATTGATAGTATACGCAATTATGTTATTCTCCAGTAGGCCCTCGCAATCAATGATCTTTGGGAAGAGGCCCTAAGCCCGCTACGATGAGAGGAAGACCCGCCACGATGGAGGTTACAAACTACTATGACGGATCTCTCAACCCAATCCGCCAGGGACAATCATGCATCGTGATAGACAAATAAGGTGCAATAATCCTGAGATGGGCAAGTTAGGAAACTCGACCCACACCGCCATTGGCCATGACAAAACATCGGATGTGATGTGCCCGAGACGGACTAGTTGGGAAACCTAACCCGTAACTTGTTACAAGCACACCAAAATGGGAAAACCCCAAAACACAAACACTAAGAAACCTAACTCGGTCGACCATGATAGAAACAAAATGACCAAATGACGACATGCCTCAAACCTTATTGCCAGAGCTCAAAACGTGCCTTCCAGGGGGAACAAATGATAGGAAATAAGGTGACATTAGCTTTGGCCTGCCAACTCACCCAGCAACCCATTGTCACGTAGGAAGTGACGTGGGCAAAAGAACCCATGTGTCTCCCCTTCCTTGTGGCAAACAATAAGGAAGCGACCTCTCATCCCCTGTCAATCACAATTTTGAGGAAGGTCGCATGCGCTAACCACAAGGAGCATTAATCCCTGACGACGAAGCCCATATAGGCAACCATCGGCCACTTATCCCGCATAGGCATCAGCCCATATAAACGACACTCCTACACTTTTCCTGCTCCGACGACTCCTCGTGACTATCACGTGGGCCTCGAGGAAGAACTTAACACTATTATATCAAATGAACGTTCCATTGTATTGTTACTGTAGTAGATGTGTTTTTGTCGTCTCCTTCTCAGTAATATTATTTGTAGCAATATTATTTATACGCCTCTTCTCTGCTTGCCTTTCACCCGCTCATCACTGCTCTCTGTGTGGGAAAGAAGAGCAACGGAGATCGCCATGGGCTCACTAGCCGAATCCCTCCATCTCGTCTTCTTCCCTTTCCTCGCCCGAAGCCACATGATTCCCATGCTGGAGACAGCTCGCCTCGCCGCCGAGCGCGGCGTCCGGGTAACCCTCGTCACCACCCCGGCCAACGCCCACCTTGTCCGCCCCACCCTCGACCGCGCCAACTCCTACATCTCCACCTCCCATCCTCCCATGGAGCTCCGCCTCATTCCCTTCCCCGCTGCCGAGAACGGCCTCCCCGACGGCTGCGAGAACCTCACCGCCGTTCCGATCCCGCTCGCCGCCAATTTCTTTGCGGCCGTCTTCGGTCTCCGTGCACCCCTCGACGCGCTTCTCCGCGATCTCCACCCCGACGCGCTCATCTCCGACGCCCTCTTCCCGTGGACCACCGCCCTCGCGTCCGAGCATGGCATTCCGCGTCTCATCTTTCAGGTCACCGGTCTGCTTCCCCTCTGCGCCGCCAACGACCTCGACCTTCACCGGCCTTACGAGGCCGTCTCGGGCAGGGGGGAGCCCTTTGCCATCCCCGGCTTCCCCCACCCGATAAAGCTGACGAGGGCCGAGCTTCCGGAGGTGTTCGACTTCCCTTACATGCTCGGCCTCCTCCGGGAAGCCGAGCTCACCAGCTACGGCGTCGTTGTCAACAGCTTCTACGACCTCGAACCCAACTACGCCGACCACTACAGGAAGGTGGGCCCGCGGGAGGTGTACCTCGTCGGCCCGGTAGCCATTGCCGGGGCGCAACCCCAGGAAGGCGGCAAAGAGGATGCCGCCCGTGACCCCTGCCTGAGCTGGCTCGACGGCAAGGCGGACGACTCGGTGGTCTACGTGAGCTTCGGTACGCTGTGCCGGTTCAGCGACGCGCAGCTGCGGGAGCTGGCGCTGGGGCTGGAGGCGAGCGGCCACCCGTTCCTGTGGGCGGTGCGGGCGGACGGCGGCGTGGGCGAGGGGTGGATGCCGGAGGGGTACGAGGGCCGGGTAGCGGGCCGGGGGCTGGTGGCGCGCGGTTGGGTGCCGCAACGGGAGATCCTGGCCCACCGGGCGTTGGGGGGCTATGTGGTACATTGCGGGTGGAACTCGGTGACGGAGGCGGTCTGCTCCGGCGTGCCGCTCGTCACGTGGCCTCTCCACTCGGAGCAGTTTGTGATCGAGAAGCTGCTGGTGGACGTGTTGGGGGTGGCGCGTCCCATGTGGGAGGGTTTCAAGAGCGTGCTGGACGGCGAGAAGGAGGTGGTGAAGGCGGAGACGGTGGCGAGTTCGGTGGCGCTGCTGATGGGCGGCGGCCCCGAGGCTCAGGCGGCGCGTAAGAGGATGAAGGAGCTGGGGGAGGCGGCGGCGAGGGCGGTGACGGAGGGAGGGTCGTCGCACGGCGACGTGGGACGGATGATCCAAGGGCTCACGGCGTGCAGCGTCCAACGTGGGAAGGCCGTGGCAAAAGAGTAATATGCTTTGCGACGAATCATTTTAATCTCGGAAAAAGTGTATGTGACTTTAAAGTCATTTGTGACGGAAATTAACGAGTGAAACATACACCATCCAACCGTGGATCAAATCCTGATGTGTTAGCACGAATCTCTTCGTAGATTAATGCGGAACATATTAATCTAATGAACCTATCAAATGGACTATAACATGTAAT